CCCCCTGACAGGAGGGGGAGCCGGGGGGGGGTCAGGCTCTGCTCCCAGGGAACAAGGGACAGGAGGAGAGGGAATGCCCTCAGGCTGTCTCTGGACAGTGACTGTTGTCCTGCAGATAAGAAGGAGCTGGTGATAAGTGCCAGGGTGGGAACCCTCAAACGGAAGCGGCAGATGAGGGAGTTCCTGGAGCACCTGCCCAAGGACAACCACGACGACGTGTTCACCACGACACCCTTCCAGAACAGGAGAGTCAAGGTACAGCCGTGCAAACAGCTCCAGGGGGTGTCTGTGGGGGTGTTTGTGTGGGTGTCTGTGTTTGTGCTTTCCCAGGGGGTGTGGGACCAGGCTGGTCTAGTTCCAGCAGTAATGCCCTGTGGATTTGGGGGAGGAGGCTCCTTCCCTTGCTGTGCTGCTGCCATCCTTTGCTGTGGTGAAGCACCTGGCACACATCCAGCCATGGCTCCTGGGAAGTCAGAGCTCCCAGGCAAATTCAGCACGTGCTGTAACCAGCAGCGTGGCACAGAGAAATCCCCAGGACTAGGGATTCCTGGGACTGGGATGAGCAATTGGCTGTGAGGGCATCGATGCTTCCATGTCCAAGACACCCTGGTTTTGCAGAGGGATTCTCCAGACATGACTCTTTTAATAGAATATAATTTCAGCCAGTGGTTCCAAAGGCTTCCTCAAATTCATTCTGCTTGTGCTGGGCAGAAGAGCCTGACTCCTCCTGTAGTGTCCAGTGGCACCTCCAGAGAGAAATCCTGTGTATGGGAGTCAGGAGTGGATTCCCCTTCCCTGAACCAGCAGAGCCCCTCCTTGAGCCCAGGCAGGCTCTTCCCATCTGGAATTTCCTGTGCTAAATTCTAGAGCCAAATCCTTTGCTGTGTGAACAACAATCTCCTCTTGTGTATTCTGAACTTCCATCTGCTGACTTTGTCCTCTTCTCCTTATGGACCCTGTCCTGGATCCTGTCCTGTCCCTGCTCCCAGTTTCAGGTGTGCTTTGGATCTTCTGTGCTGCTCCTCCCTGAGCCTTTCCAGTGCCTTTCTCTCTTCCAAACGCGAGGACCACAAGTTCCCTGAGTAACCCTCCTTCTGAGCAGCCATGGTCAGCTTTGAGCTCGGAATTCTAATCAGAGATCACTCTCTGAGTGTGTGGTGGCATCCAAACTGGGAGCAGCGTGTGGAGCGAGGCAGGGCCGGGATTGGCCGCTGGGCCGTGTCTGTGTCCCTGTCCCTGCACAGGGACAGGGTGGAGTCACAGCCACTGCAGTGAGGAAGGGCTGGAGTGACTGTGGAGGAGAGGGGAGAGTCTGGGCTGTCTCTGGGGACAGGGACACCCCTGGCTCAGGTCCCTGATGGCTCTGGGGTGGCTTTGCAGCTGCCGCCGCTCCGGAACGACGACCCCGAGGACTTTTCCCTGGGGGAGCTCTCGCTCAGCCCCAGCTCAGCCGTGTTCCCGCTGGCCAAAACCCCCCAGTGCGAGCACATCAGCCCGGGAATGCTGGCCCCCATCAACAGGTAGGAGCTGGGAAACCCCCCAGTGCAAGCACATCAGCCTGGGAATGCTGGCCCCCATCAACAGGTAGGAGCTGGGAAACCCCCCAGTGCAA